TATTTTAGATAAGAAGTAACCTGGATAAATTATTGTTATTCAATGAATCTGCATTTAGAAACTGGGGTAAGTGAAGAGACAGCAGCGATCCACGTATCAATTCAGAACGATTGATATCGTTTCCGACGCCGATGCCGTTTGTCAGATGAATATTCCAAAATCAAATACATCTCGAGTAAATGCCAGAAATTTTTTTTTATAATATGTAGAATATTCCTTCGATATAACGGTTTGTCCGACAAATGCTTCTGTCTTTAGATATGTTATGCTGAAGGAAAAAGAAATTCATTTTGCCCCTCAATTCGCGCAACGCAACGTTATCGATGACGATGAATCGCGAGAGAACATGCTCCGAGAATATTGCGAGAAAGTACGTAAGATTCTTCGCGGAAGTTTCACCGGTAATTATCTAAAGTTACCAAGGGCCACGAGAGTCAAAGTGTGAAGTCGTGTTCGAAGTCTTTCTGCACTTCAACGCTTCTTCGCGCCGGTTAATAACAAATGAGCCGGGCTGCGAGCCCCTCACTTTTGTTATAATCGGAGACACTTGCCCTCGTACAGTTACCGTCTACCATTCTACATTATTCAGTGAATTCATTTGTAGCATTCTAAACAGCCAACTTATATCTTTCGCTTCCTTAACGCTTTCGTTACTTGCATTTAGCAACTCTCTACGGAGAAGGGAGATGCTGAAATTATTATATTATATGAAAACTTTGTATTTTTTTTTAATTTCCTCATTAATAAGACATAGTTCAAGTCATAATTCATGCCGTGCCTTCCTTTGCTATGATATATTTTAGAAAAACTAAAAACTCGTCCTGTTTCGGGAAAGACATCGAGAGAGAGAGATTTGTTTCAGTCTAACACTTCTCATATCTTCTACAGTCAAGAAAATGATTAATTTATCATAATTTAGACAATATTAATTTAATATTTTATCAAACTCGCTTACTCAATAACCAAGCAAAATTTATAACAAAATGATAGAAGCATTCGTTTGATAAGGCAGAAATCACAGTTGGCCGTTTATAAAGATTATTCTTCGACCGTGTCGATACCGAATGGACGACGCATACACATTTACAATTTTTCAAGAATCTTTCTTATTTGACGAGTACGTCACGAGAGATGCCGAATTAAAAACAAATTTCTCTCTGTCAGGAATGCCGTTTGGCATTTTGCATTTCGCACCGCTGCGCCCCACGACAATGTTCAATCAAATTTTTCACCGTGCGTATCTCGCCGCGAAAAAGGTCAAATTTTCGATATTCGTGCACCACGCCATGCCGTCCAATCTAAAGCATCAGTATGATCCTCCGGCATGGTGCAGCAGTTGATTTACAATCGGCCGCGGGAATTCGCTTGATAATCAAACGAGAGTTTCGGATTGGATTTGTACGGCGCGTTGCACTGTCTCTCTATATTCGGGCCGGGCCGCGCAGCGCCGCGCCGCGCCGTTACGCGCGCACGAAGCGCGCGCGCGGCATCGGCCATATGAAGGAAAATCAATTAGCCGGGCAAACTGATTCGACTGCGTCTGTTTACTCGTGCGAGTCCGCAATGTGTTTCGCGTCGTGGCACAGGCGCTTCCGCGCATATATGTATATACGCACTCGTACACACGCGTGTACAGAGCCGCTACGCACACAACGTGCCGATGCAACGAGGCTTTTGTGCGAGGCTGATGCACCGCGCGCAGCTCTCGTACCACGCGCTGCAATACACACACACACGCACGCGTGTCTCGATATATACGCGTTGTACGATTCCAGCCACTACCATCGCGCGCACCGTACAAATGCGCACACGCGTCTACATACATGTACATATTCGCCCGCGTACGTACAACGTATATAGAATTTAAGAGATGACGTGCGTTATAGCGTGCGATGCTTAATGCGCCACAGCATATTGTTGCGTAAGCGTATTATCCTCGTTCAAAGAATTCGACTAAAGCAGCATTCCGCCCGTGAATGGTATCTATTTAGTGATTTTAAGATTAATTCCTTTATCGGCCAAGTTTTAAGAAAATCAGAGTACCACGTTCGAACATTAAGAAGCACATTTTTTTTCTTAAACTAAAATGCTTTAGAGATGCCTAGTGCAATAAATAGTTTTCAGTCTTTCATTTCTTTTTAAACCAAAATACTTTGGAGATGTCTAATACAATAAATAGTTTTCAATCTTCCATTTTTTCGTAAACCAAAATGCTTTAGAGATGTCTAGTGCAATGGTTTTCAATCTTTCATTTTTCCTTAAACCAAAATGCTGCAGAGACGTCTAGTGCAATAAATAGTTTTCAATCTTCCATTTTTTTTTCTTAAACCAAAATGCTTTAAAGATGTCTAGTGCAATAAATAGTTTTCAGTCCTCTTTACGTTCTCCAGGAGAATATTTTTTTATAAATGCGAAAAACGTTCTTAACGTTTTCGCGTTGGGTATTTAAATTTTTTAAATCTGCTCCAGTGTTCAAATATATCTCTGTCTTTTATTCAATGTTACGAACACATTGCTCTTTTGTTTTTCTCAACTAATTGCACAGTTTTTTTACAATCGTTTCAAAGGCTATGAGAGTCAAACGCGGTTATAATTATTAAAATAAAATTCTTAATTATATCGATATTATACCTAAATCCTTTGTAATTTTTAATTTCGAAAGTCCATTTACTCGTTTATTTTTTCTTTATATAACATTATTTACATTTTAAATGCTTGTAACATACGTTACAGTGCACACTTCGAGCGTCCGCAGTAAACTAAATACAAGCAAACTTCAAGTTTACTACTGTAAACGTATCGCGACTTGTCCTTGCGTATTTATGTGATGCTTTATCTCAAGTTGTTCAGTTTAGCGTGCCGATACGTAACGATATGCAAAATAGTTGATTAGAGCTAAAGAAGTTACATTTTTAAGTATTGAAGGGGTGGCAAATACTTCTGGCCAAGGCTGTATATACAATTCTGTACCGTGACGAGTTCAAACGGTATTACTTTATCAAATATCTTGATAACACGTTTTTGGCAAAATGTCACGAGTTTTTCTGTCAATAAATTTGGCCGTAGAAGAGAAATATATGAATAATGTTTGAAACAAAATTTCTACTTTGTTTTTTATCCTGAAAAAAAAACGTAACTTGGAAACCGTGCGTTTCTATTCGCATTATGTACGTGCTCTCTTAACCCTTTGAAGTATACATTTTTCTATTGAACCATTTTCTGTGAAACTTTCTACACAAGGGTTTTTGGAGGGAGGGGGGTATAGGTGTGTGTTATTGGGAAATATTAAAGTTAAACTTAATCCTATTGATGACGATAATCGCATTCGAGATGTCAGATCTCCTCAGATCGAGATATATTATTGAAAATGACGAAAATGAACAACATCGAATCACGCGATATCTTGTTCGGGGCGTCAAATGGATGACACGCGGCGGGATAATATCGTCAATGAGCGTTTGACAATCGCGCAGAAATACAACGTCGATATTCGCCGAGACAAAAGACGCCGCGCATTTTTCATAATCCTTCATAATTCAAGCACCAGGTAAAAATATCCCGGTAATCACGAGTCTCGAGATATCATTAAGCTCTCTCTATCTCTCTCTCTATCTCAAATCGACTGGAAAAAATAAGGTTCTATCTATTAAATTTTTTCACGGCTGTTTGCCCCGATGAATATTTGACAGTCGGGCGTAAAAGCGGCACCGATATCCCGGCGTCGGCGGAAGATGACAAATGACTGAAAAATTATGTCGAATGCACGCTGAGTGGCACGTATATCTGCAATCGAAGCCCGATGATGTATTGTGCGTACACGTCGATTCCAAGTATCGCCACGGACGCGCCGGGACGTGTGACACGTTAATAAAGTACGTCGCTACGGAAGAGTGATGTATTCATATTAGTCTCGGTGCCCGTAATGACATAATCATTGTCATCAAGAAGCGCGCGAGTGCAGAATTGGCCGACGCTTTAATAAGGACGATATTGAATTACCTAGTTCTGCGCGAATCCTAAAATGACTCATTTAATTTGCGACGGCGTCGCGACGCCGGTATGCCCCGATTCTGTCAATCTTTCGGCTCCGCTTTAAATATAATATAAATGTATACGTACGTATATCATATACGTATATGGGGGGGCACGTATACGCGCGCGTGCAAGCGGACAATTGCGCGCGACCCCGTGCGGCGCCGCGCGCACGCGTGCGTATCCTGCGGCGATCGGCAAAAATAAAATATGCAGACGGGATAAATATTAAGTGCCGTTGACAGGTAAATCGCGTAACACGTTCGATTTCCATTCGGATGAAAATACTTCTCGGCTACGGTCATTAGCCGCGCATTGAAATTTATTACGTGGTCTACGCGGGGGCTCTAGAACATAGCCGCGTGACAACCCTTGTCGAACATAGATCTGCGCTAACAGAATACACATTTCCGTGATACGAGATAATCCGATGTTGATTTTACTTCCCACCGTCCTGTCGCGCGCGTTGCCCCGATATGAAATTACTATCGTAGACAGCCAACGATACGAGTACGTTACGTCGGCTTGCTTGCTCCGTTATCAAGCAATAGAGGGAGGCAGCAGAGTCTTAAAACGTGACAAGACCACGTTTAACAATAAGAACAAACGCACTTGTGACATGTCACGTATTTTCGAAGCAAGAAAACATCATTAATTATGGATTAATTTTGACAAAACCTCACGTTAACGTTAAATTTACTACAATTAAAGTGTTCGTCCAGTGCCGTAGAAGCTTTTCTACGTAATGAAACATAATAAATTGTTTGTGCAAACTGGACCTAAACTCTGGCGCTTAAACCCTGTCTTTCCGCTTTTTAGTTTAGTTTAGGATCTCGTCCCGTGCCTTGCCATTTCTACGTGAAAGAAAATGATTTCACATTATCCAAGTGAAATTGATTTAACGATGTATAATGTCACAAGAGAATCTTGACTCCGATGAGAAATGGTATTTCGTTTTTATTTTGCAGAGTCGTATATTCGAAGACGCATCCATTGTGTGCAATTCTTGGTCACCGAGGCATAATGTGAGTACCGAATTCTGTTTTTTTTTCCATACTTTTCATTTACACTGTTTCCTCTTTACGCACGTAAAGGAGGAATTAATTCGAATGACTCGACTTTGCGCGTTGTTGAGACAAATGTTACTATGCGACGCAGCCCGTGAGAAAAATCAGCTGTTTTATTAATCGTAGATTTATTTAGAAGGCAGTTAATAAAGCACCTAGACGGATTAATTACATCTTTACGGAACGACGTCGCCTGCGACATCATTTTAATAGGACAACCCGATTATTTGAAACGTCTTCGGACGAGACAAACGTAGTTATACGTCACGTGTCGTCTTTCCAAGTAATTAGATTCTCATAATATGTGCGGCAATTTTGTTGCGCTGTACATCCTCGCGATATTGCAATTTGATAAATGAAAAAGCTCGCGAGATTTTTTACAAGTTGTGTTCGCATATATACAATATTTGACTTCGTTTATCATCACATTTATTTTCCGTTTTAAAAGCTGCGTGTGTTTCAAAAAAAAAACTGTGTAACAAGTTTAATCGGTTTTCACGATATTGAATGCTTTCAAATGTCTGCATATTCTGCTTTAAATTGCCATGCTTGTTTAGCTCCTTCGTCATAATTAAATAAATTCAATAAATCGACTCAATCTACCTTAACCGCAAACCGTTCGCGAACGAGATAAATGAGAAGACACGAAGAAGCTTGTTGCCACGTAAGCACGGGGAATCCCCGCTGTACAATTTCAAGACTTTTCGTTAGTGGAAATTCGATTAGATTTCACTCTCGCGGAATTATAAACGGAGAAAAAAAGGAACTAGACGCGAGAAAAAGGGGAGGGAGAGAGTGGAGGCACCGTGGACAGAGAGGAAACGACGGGAGAGCGGAGTAGAGGGCGAGGGGGGGCAGAGAAAGAGATTATGAGACTGTTGCTGTATACGAAATGCCCCCATAATATTTATGCTTTACGGAGCCACGTAGTTACGGTGGCCGGGCTCGCATAAACTCGCTAACTCGTGGTTACGATTATGGCCAGCAGTAAATTGATTATTTAGATATACGATGAGGCGATGCGGGATAGTCGAGTGCCGTAAAAAGAGCTATGTGTCACTTATGCCCGCGGATGCAACAGATACCCCGCGGCGCCCCGGCGAGAGAGTCGACGCGACCCGCCGCGCTTTTCGCGGGCACCACGTCCCGCGGTTCTCCTCCCTCGCGCCCGCAATTATTCGCACGTCGAGGGGGTGGTATCGCGTTCTATCTTTCATACGCCTGCATAATGACGCGGGGGCGCCCGGCGATTTCGACCGCGTAAATTCGCGAGGAACATTATCGACGAAGACGACGAAGGGGCGAGGGGGTGGCGCGTTAGATACGCGTGTAATAATAATGGAGGACAATACGCGACGGTAATACGACGGGACCGCAGCGGAATGACCGAACGCAACCGGGGGAATGGAAATCGATAATGCAGATTTAACAACAATAATACCGGGGACGAGATGCGGCCGCAAGTCGCGGCGTCGCGCCGGTGCGCTTCGGCGTTACGGACATAAAAAGACGTTAATATGATAGTATTAGCGACAATAGCAACGCTTAATATTAACGTCGTTAAGGGAGCGGAGCGTAACAGCGCTATTATAAATCGATGATACCCGCTCCGGGGTGGCGGCGGCGGCGACGGCGGCGGCGGCGGCGGCGGCGGCGGCGGCGGCGGAGGCGACGGCGGCCGCGGGGTCGAGTCGCGTCTGCGCTACGAATGAAACTGAATTTGATGGACCCACAGCGCGAGAAGCCCACGAATAATGTTCTTTACTCTAGACAGTAGGTACTCCGCCATGCAAGTGATAATTTGAACAGTCTCCCCGTTTTCGTGTCAGACGTCAGATTTTCTGGAAGAATTTACTTATTCATGCGTCAGACTACTCCGTGATGTAGGTTATCGGACGGAAATAACGTAATTGTCCCAATTTGCGATATCCGATAGCCGACGGGTCCGCGGCGCGCTCCCCGCGCCCCCCCGCGCTCGGACCCCGCGGTAACCGCGAAGCTGATCGCTAATAAATTTCGTATATTCGGACGATACGTAATTGAACCGCACGCCGCGTGACGAGATTTTATTTTATTTTTTCATCCGCCGCTGATGCGCCCCTCTTAGTATTGATGCCGTGCTATTCGTATCTTATTGACGCGACGGATGCGCTACTTGGCGGCATTTATCGATCGAATCTCGCGGACGGGCTCTCTGACTAACCGCCTGGCTCAGACACGACTGAGCTTTAATTGCTAATTGATTTTGTGCACACGTTCGAAGGTTTATGTACCATATTGATGTGTCCGGGGCACGTCTAATTTTGCCCTCGTCTGCTTCCCGAACGAAATGGATTAAGGCAATTGGTTTTCTGGGAATACGTACTTGCGAGGAACAGCGCCTTGATAGACAAACGATTATGCGCATCTGATACGAGTGAATTATGCAGAAATACGCCGCGATATAATCGGCTTATTTTGCTAGCGCCTTCGCGCCGAGGATTGCCCAGAAAAAGACGCGCTCCGATTATATCCTACAATTTCACGCGACTATCTCACAGCCTCTTTGTAATACAATAGTTAACGTATGAGCGTTGCCGAAGCAAAATTGTTCGCAGGTATTTTTTGAAAAAAAGGTTTTCTGTTACCGAGACACTAAATATTCTCGGCGCATTTATATTTCTCGCAACCTCATTGAGTATAAAAATAAGACGATATCAAAATTAAATCAATAATTGTTATTCTCTTCTAACGAATTAAAACAGATTGACTTACTATACGGAGAAAAGAATAACGGATATAAATGTAAATTTGTCTAGAATAAATTTCCCCTCCGTCTTACAACGCACCAAGTTGGCACTGCGATATTCGACAAAAGACGATACATGCTATCATTTTATTCTAGACTTTAGAATTTTTCCTTTCAGATTAAAATATTCCTTTCTCTGTAATAAATATGATTGGCGCTATATCGATCCTACTTTATGATACATTCAAGTGTAATAGCATCGGATCCGGAAATTTTTTTCTGTGGGCGCGTAAACCGAGGTAACAAAATTAATTTGCTTTCACGCTCGTAAAAATTGGCCTCCTTTCATTAACGGTTGTTGTTAAAATTAATAAGTACCGTTAGTCCCGCGCTTCTCTTTTTCGGGGATCGTCTTCCTAATCCCAAGCTACCGACACAATCCCGCACTAAACACCGTCTTGTTATCAGTTATACGTTAGCCACTTAATCAGACCTACCGTCGCTCCTCGGATAAATTACGCGGAGAGAGTCTGCAGGGTCTGATAATTCAATTGTAATTGCCTAATCCTCATAATACCTTACTACCAGAAGACGTATCTCGACCGCTGGGGTCGGCCGCATCGAAAAATGACTCTATTAACCGCGACGACGTAGAGAATCGTGTAAAGGGGAAGAAACTTTGCTAAACAACGGCAGGAAGTGTTAACTATGTGGCTAATAAGAGCAATCCGTATTCTCGGTGGCACCTTAAGCCTTGTTCACAATATACCAACGTTTTGCGTTAACTCGACAACGTGCACGATATCATAATCCTTTTTAAGGACGCGAAGCGTTACGTAAGAGAAAAGAGCGGCGAGGAGAGAAACATTTGTTTCTTTTTATCAACACGATAATCAACACTAATAGCATGTGTTGTAACAATGTGTTTATCTCGCTAATTAATGATCCTAGGCAAAGATAGACTCGGCACTTTAACTAATTTCGACCGATTCGGGCGATGGAATGGAGAAGACCTGATTTGTTGAAATACAAGTAAAAAAGAGAACAAAGTAATAATGTGAGAGATACTTTATAATAGAACCTTCTCCCCAACTCTGGTCATTCCGGCTACTGTAATCTTGTATATACACGTGTATGTGTGCACGCATGAAGATCGAGTGACTGCTGTTCAAGTGTTACGTTAAAAGAGGGTCCATCGCGTCTTGCCCCTTAGCCGTGAACCGTGATTTATTGCCCTGCTAATGCTTCGATTAAGCAGCATGTCCGTGTGAAAAACGTCGTCATTTTGGACCCACGACTTCCCACGGGAAGTTATTGTGCCCGGCATTAATGCTTACCCGCAAAAGTAATTGTATCAATTGCACTTTCACACATTTAAATAGCGAATCGCTTCATCGAATTTCATTAACTGCACCCACAGAAAAAATTCCCGGATCCAATGCCATTGCACTTCAAAACGAACTGAGGTTGTAAAAAAATATAAATGCATCAAGAATATTTTTTGTCTCGGTAACAGAAATATTTTCCGAAGGTGTGCGTACGGCTCGCATTGGCCTTCCCACCCTCCACTTATTTTGATATTTTGAGAGCCTAAACATATTGGATCTTTATCAAATTCGTTCGTCAAATTTGTGCTTTTCCTCATTCTTTCATAACTCAAGTTCGGAGCAAGTAATTTTCCAGCAATGTTTATCATTGTGCGAGGCTGTAGAGCTTAAAAATGAGAAACCAGGAAAACTATCTAATAAATGAAACAACGCGCACGGACAAAAATACTTAATTAACATTTGCTTCCATTAAAATTTTTTCTCTTCATTTTGTTTTGTGTACAAAGTTGGAATAATTTATTTAGATATATCTGTGTGACAAACAAGACACGTCGTACATTTTTCATTCCGTGTCCCTCCTTTTACTAGCATGTTGATTGTCAACTCTGGCGGAATGCAGCTCCGCATTTCGTTACGGAAAATACAACGAACGACAAGACGGCGAGAGGGAAATTTCGGAATTAAAAAGAGTGACGGCAGTTCAGCAACCTAGAGACAACCCGTAGGTACGCCGTACTCGACGAAGACACGAGGAGTTCATAAATAATCGAAGCGCTGGAACACGCCAGTGGTTTCCGCATGAAACATTGATCGGGCAATGCGGACATTACAGGTCGTAATGAAATAAGTGGGCAGTGAATCACTTTTAGCTTTACCTGCCTCGACCGAGCTAACGATATTTTGATAACTCTTTCGGATTAATCTGGACAGGGGCAGGCTTGCCGGGTTACGGGGAATAAAGAGTTGTTGAAGAGAATAATAAAACTTTTAAGGACTGCTTCATGTAGCACCCGCATAAGGCACAACATTAAATTGCAGAATGAGCAATATATATTTCATGTATTTACGTCACTGTTAATCATCATTTCAGATTACACGAACATTCGACCTGGTTACTTTTGACATGCCCGCACTTTGCAGAATTGATATTAAAACGTAAAGCAATTTCTGAAAATTTTTCTGTTATACATCAGAGGACAAACTTTGAAAATATTGTCTATTTATTTTCTGTAAATATATTATACTTTAACGTAAATTGGAATGTTCTCTATCAATTGTGATAGAGAACTGAAATGTTCTCTATCAATTGTGATTGTACAAATCGTCAGTACGCAATCGCAATTCTATTACTAATCAATCACTGTTAGACAAACATTTCGTGCGACATTGAAATTCGTTATTTCAACTGGAAAACATGTACGTCGTGAATTTCGTACACAAATATCTTGTAATATTCAATACTTTTATTCATTGAAAAGAATTTTTTAATCCCGCCATCGATTTTTCGCGTATCAAGCAACAATTTTTACGTACATTTGTAACAATAAATTATGCAGTGTATTTAATAGAATCCAGCAAACTCATTCAATTCGTTTATATTTGAAAATTAGTTTATCCAATTAACGATTCACACAGCAATGACGTCAAATAATGCACATGGCACATCTTCACAACAAATAAAAAAAACCCAATAATTATAACCCAATACCATTACTAAATAGAAGAGGAAAGCCAATCGACTAAGAAATAGCTTAAGCTGTGCACCGACATGTATAATTACGCGACTTAAAATTGTCTCAATATTAATTTCCTGGTAAAAAGAAAACACTGATCCTGCTCAAGCGTAGATTTGGAAAATTTATCTTTGTTGAAATGGCTTCGAAGGCATGTTACAAGTTGTACGTGACTTATAACTGCGAATTCTTTGAACGTAGATCGAACCTAGTAACATGTCGCAAGTGACAGATGTAGTTGATGCGGAATGTCCCATATAATATCGATCTCGCCACAGTGTACAGGCAAGTCTAAGTGATATGAGGCTATGAATGCAATGTATAGCTTTCATTAAGATATCCACCTAAAAGAGTTGCTTTAATCAATAACAGAGAGTATAGGTGGAAACAAATTGGCTGCAACCATAAAGCCGATGTGTACAGTAGTCGATATTAAGGTACATAAATTTCAATTAGTTTGCCATCAATGCAAATTTACATCGGCAGTCCGCCGTGATCGGGGGAGGGAGTTTAATATTTGTACAAGTGAATAGAACTCGATGTGATTTCTCTTTTTCCGAAAAAGCCGGGGTAGAAGAAAGAAGATTGCGCCATTCAATTCCAATTTTTTAAAAATCACGTAATACATATCGGCCTAGAAGCGCCAGTGTCTGAGAAGTTAATACAGAACACCGAATTCTGCGCATCCGCGAAATTCTTCCGGCATCAGCCGATCGTAAAAAGGGAATTTTGAATCCAACCCCCCCGTCGCACATAACACGCCATGAAATGAAATCACCCGCCCCTCCCCTTGTTACTCCGTTCTGCGCTGCTCATAAATTTCGCCGTAGCGTAGTTTAAGCTATTTTCGTTACCATTAAATGTTGACTTCGCCGAGGGGGACCGGATCTCCAAACACGCGAAAGGGAATCGGGATGATCCTCCTCTCCCCCCCCCCCCGGCTCGTCCAGTTTCGCCACCGCTGTTGCGATACTGACGGATATATTCTGTCCACCGTCCCGAGGGGGACTCGGTCAAGTATCCATCCTTCGGATCGATTCCAGTGTAACGGATGAATTTGATTACCGAACATCATAGGGCATGTGTACACGCGCTAATACAATGACGTTACCGGGCTCGGGGGGATCGTAACCTAATGCCATTAATCCGCGCAGATATCGCTGTTTTTCCAATTACACGCGTCTCTCGTTTTGTTGTGCCAAAAATACCGTGTATGCAAACGTGATCTGTATCTTTAGTATCATAATATCTCATAAATTAATTATGAGAATCCCGCCCTGTTTTGCTGAACGTGGAGAATTGCTTCCCCGGCATTATTTTTCTGCCGTACGCGGAATAATACAAAAACCAGGTGGCTAAACTTCAGGAAACGTATTCTCCTCATCTTGGAAGGGTTACATAAACGTGGAATCGGCTACGTTCCCTTACCCTTGCCAAGTTGGGGATACTTTTTCTTTGCGGCAGCATGTTTGTAGTTCACACGACGAGTGGATGTTTTGACGAAACTTGTAACCTTTTACGAGGCTGCGTTCGCAAGTTGTCATGACTGCCGTTCGGATAAACTCGCCCTCGAGGGAAAGTAATTTAACATTCCAATGTAAAGTTTATATATAACGCGATATCGTTGCATCCTACACGTGCATCCTGGTACTAGCAATTTCTAGTTTTCTATCGCTTTGAATAATTTTTCCCAATTTTACGTACATGTATTTCGATACATGTTGAGCTATTATCATCTCACAGATTGCAATTAAAAATCTAACGAAATAAGTAACGAGCGACGACACATTTTCTGAATAATAAACATCTCTTCGCAGCATGCATTTACAATGTGTCACACTCGTTGCTCGAGTCGAATTATGTAATGAGTATTCATTGCCCGTTGGTGAAAGAATTTTGTTTATACGCCCAATTTGAAATAACAATTAAATTTGTATAATAAAACGATGGAGAGTCCTGGTGAAACTTTAAAATGCCATTTAAGTGATAGAGAATTTTTGTCCGAGCCTAAAAAACTCGCCAAACGCGAATATCTCGGATAACAAAACTATTTTTGGGATATCGATCGTACAGCCATGTTGCCGTCCGGTATATAAACTCACTGTTGCCCAGACAACGTCAAACGGATTAAATTCAATAAGAATGTATATAATAAATAATAGGCTATAACCAGTCATTTTTTACATTAAAAAGCAAGTTAATTTACATTTGCAAATTACTGTTTAATCTGTCTTTCTTTGCGCGTAGCAACAAGCCGCAAAATGTTTTTGATGATATTCAACGATGGTTTCTAAGTACCACAAAAATCGCATTGACATTTGGTGAACGATTAAACGATTAAAATTAATCAAAAAAATTAAAATAGCATCAATTACGGCAAGTTTTCGAAAATGTTGTTTAAACGAAAAAAAATGAACGTAACTGCAAAAATCGCATGTATGTTACAACTAGATCGTAATGTATGCCATAACGTGTAGATACTTTGTGTTGTTTGAGCGCGAAAACGTTACGTAACGTTTTAATCAACGATATATTATGCACTTTGTGTTTCAGGGTGATTTGTTTGGTGGCTTGAACAGCGGTCTGCAAGATGGCTTACTTTCAAGAGCGGAAGCTTTGGCAGCAGATTTGGGGAAGCACAACGCCGGGACGCCGATGCCGCTAAAGCACGATCCCGTATCTGTGTATCATCACGGAGCACACATGGCTACCCCCCATCCAAATAACCGGCCACATCATCAGGTACAATCACACCTCCTTGTGAGTCCGCATTTTTGATATATTATTCTAGCGTACGTAATACAATGACACTGCAATGCTACAAAGCGAGCACGCATTGTCTCCCTATGCAACGGTACGTCAACAAGCCGTGTAGATTTACACTTTACGAATCGATAAGGCTCTCGTTGAAAGGAAAAGCAATCTTTCGTATCTCTTTGCAAAGAAAAAAAAATGGAGGAACGAACATTTCGTACGTGCTTTGTCTTTCCGTTTGCAGTTTCTTTTCTGATATTTTATTTTAGATATCGAAACTAGACTTGGAGATTTAACGGTTCACCGTTAATAATGACAAAAAAAAGAATAGTATTGTACGAGCGAGGATAATTAACGTGATTAAAGCTAAAGGCCTCCTTGTGAGTCTGAATTTTTGATATATTATTCTAGCGTACGTATTACATCCTACAATACACTGCAATGCTACAAAGCGAGCACGCATTGTCTCCCTATGGTACGTCAACGAGCCATGTAGATTTACACTTTACGAATCGATAAGGCTCTCGTTGAGAGGAAGAGTTAATCCCTTTCGTATCTTTTTGCAAAGAAAAAAATGGAGAAACGAAAATCTTACACGTGTTGTGTATTTCCGTGTGCAGTCTCTTTTCTTATATTTTATTTTAGATATCGAAACATACACTTGGAGATTTAACGGTTCATTGTTAATAATGAAAAAAAAAAAGAGCAGTATTGTGCGAGCGAGGATAATTAACGTGATAAAAGCTAAAGGCCGCTTCGTAAACCCCCGTACACAAACCCGGGGGAGGGGGGGGGGAGGGGTGCATCCATAAAATGCAACGAATCCAACGGTCAGTTAAAATCGTTGCCAATAATTAATTACGCGCGGCAATTAATTTTGAATTCATATTTAATCGGCAGATTGAAAAATTTAATTTACGCAGTTTATTTGTTAATATCGCGAACAATGCAGACAACGATTTTAATTTTCCGCGTTTTAATGGTTAATAAGCCGCATTATATTTACAACCCGTCGGTCATAATCGCGCGACAGCGCGACAGCCGCGGCGCGGTCGTTATGTCGTTTAGAGGCGGACAAGATACATGTAATTCCGTGCGAATCGCGTTTCAATTTGTTGCCCCGCGTGCCTTATGCTAATCTGAGCAATCTGATGCCGACGAGAGGAGCGCGGGCGCGCCGGGAGAGCGACGCCGGGTGCCGTCGAGTAACCAATGCGCATCGATCCGGAATGATCTTCTCAAATGTAGGGGCGTGTTGCTTGTATATTATCTCCGTGTCGTGACTGCTTGTAATGCCCCCTCCCCGCCCTTAATAGAACGCAATGAATTCTAAGGGTCCGCGGAACCTGCGTCTGCGGCGAGGGTCCAATGTGGGTTTTGTTCAGCTTCTCGCGTGCCGGCTTTCACGCGGGATTTGCGTACACTTGATTTTATCGTCGTAAATCACCTCTGATTTTTCTCGGCTCCGTTTAAATACAAATTATTTAGTGCTTGGTTGTTTTAACTCGATTATTGTTTCCATCGTGCCATTTACGCCGCGCTGTTTAGGAGTCATGTTGAAATCTCATTTTCCGACTTGAATTTCGATGCCGCGTCTCTCAAATTCTATCGCGATTCAGCGAAATTATTCCAACAAGTTGGATTATCCTAATGTATCTTTTGATAATTCGGTATCTTTTTCGCGAATGTATATAATTATCTCTTGAAATATATACTAGAAAAAAAGTGGAAGCTGACTCAGCTTTACCAAGCAGCTTTACCTAACAATTGGTGTTATTAATTTGTCTCGTTGTGACACATGTGATTTCGCGTGTAACTCAATTTCGGAAATGCTCTAATGGAATTGTGTACGATTGATTCTCAATTTCAGTGATCGAGTAGCGACCACAAGAAAACTCCTACTCAATTGGATATGCAGCTTCGCGCAATAAAAACACTTTCGAACTATACTCCATCGATAGCATCGAGTGTTAATAAACGCGCGGTATTTTAGCACCGTTTCCAAGAAAATATGCGCGCATCGGCTAACTCTGTAAAAGTCAATCAGTGGACTATCACCGAAAACAGCGAATATTCGCTGGTTCACAGTTATAAGTATAGCACTGAATTATTCGGTGTGACATCGAATAATTGTACTTATAACTGTTTTCGGTGATAATGCACTGATTGACTTTTAGAGAGCAGGTGTACAGAAGGGTTGGTGACAAGTAGTAAAAAGAAGGCAAGAAATAATTCGGTTTTAAGAGAGAGAAAGAGAGAGAAATGGAAAGGCAAAAACAGGCGTCGAGCTGGTGTAAAAACAGCTACGCGGGCATGCGTGCGCGCGAGCGTGAGCGTGTGCGCGCGGATCGGGTGCGGATACAGCGCGGCGAACAAGGAGGGAAGAAAGAAAAATTAGGGGTGAGGTGGGCAATAGAGCAAGGAGAAAGAGCAAAACATAGGAGCCGGCTAACCCTACCATCGTGTCAGCGTAATGATGAAATATTGCGCAGGTCTCTCGGGCCCTACCTCGTACGCCCCTGGGCAAGTCCACCCCCGACAACCCCGACGAAATCCCCCCCGCTTTCCGCCCACCTCCCGCGCGCGCGCGCCCTTCCCCCTCGTGTGCTTGTATATTTGCTGCCGGTGCTCCCGAGCTTCCACCTTCTGCCTTTTCCACGCTGCCCGCCAGTGTCCGTGCAGCGCAACCCCCCCTGCATTTCTGATGTAACTGCGCTATCCCAGGGCACCACCGCCGACCGAAACCGTGCCATCCAGTTAGCTCACTATACTGCCGTTCTCATGAGAATAGATGATGCGCGTGTTGCCTACGCGCGTACGTGTACGTGTGTAAGCCTCGGCGAGGTCGTATAAGCGCTTACGTATGTACGTGAGGTAATGGCCGGATTGAGAACGACGTGGATATTTTTAGTAGCGATTTTTATAGTGATTTCGGCGCAATACTTGGCGTTACGTACTACGTAAGCGCGATACAACGCAGTTCCACGTTCGGAGCTAAGAATAATTGATGCGGAGCACAAACGAACGCCAGAGATTGGGATTAAAATGTAAATGTACTTATTAAGGGATGATTCGACAAGATAATACGTAGCGCGTCTCACACGCATCGCGCGCGTGTCAATATTTTAATATGAATTATACATTTTGACATACGTCACGTGTATCTGTCCCTTGGAAAAAAAAATCATTTCACAATCAAATCTGTCAAGGATTTGCACACGCATCGCGCCGTATCGACGGTCACGCGCTTGCGATATAAATTGTCGTTTAATGAGTTCATCGTACGTGTACGGAGGACAATTTTATTTCTGAAATATACGCGTGAACTAATTCTAATTACATGTCCTGTCCCCACGGTCAAAACCGTGGCATCTAGTTAATTCAGTATACTCTCGTGAGACCAGACGATTTCATGTGTGCAAACAAGATCATACGCGTGTGCGTGATACTTTACATACTTAAGTATGTAGAGAGAGAGAGAGAGAGAGAGAGAGAGAGCGCAATAAATAAATTATGTACAAGATACAAAGGGGAGGATCGGCAATTGCGTCAAGTTAATTGAAAAACATTTATCCTAATTAAGCGACTTGGGTGATCGCGACTTGAGAATCGTAACGCGTATCGGTGCGTTCCCAGAAAAAACGTGGGCGAAATTTAAAGGGAATAAGAAACGACGGATGAAATATGGAGGGCACCGTCTCCGTGCCTCTCCCGGACAAAGTGCCATTTCGAAAAATAGCTTTCCCATCTGGTCGCCCGTAATTTCCGACTTATCGCATTTGACTGGTGACAATCCATTTTCCGTTTCCCGCTCCGGACAGACGTAACGTCCCGATATTGGCTTTGGGAAAGCGAGCTAACGACGTGTCGCCTAACGCAACGGCAGACGTCTGGGCGAAGAAAAATATGAAAGAAGTTCATAAATAATTTGTAAAGAGTTATGCTGGAGGTGCGTTCTGCATTCGCCGACGACGGCCGCGGCACGTGCTGCATAATTATACGTGTTAGCTTGTACATATTTCCTACTCTCTCCACACTCTCCGCACTCGACCTAACTTTGCTTTTTATCCCCTTCATTCATGCCTCTCCCACACCATCATGGTGCTTCATCAAAATGCATTTCCGCAAACTCGGCGATACGATACGCATCCGGCCTTTCAGCGTCTACCTTCGTATTTACACGTTTCACTTTACCTTGCGTATTTCCTCGAACAGTGCATACATGAACCGAATTTTTCGAATTATTTACTTGCAAGATACCCTTTTACTAACGCTTTAATAATGAAAAGACGCGGCCGATAGTAAAAATCTTGTGTCAGTGGATAGTCAAGGATATCTCTCTTTATTGTTCAAGTTGGATCTCGTGAATTTAACAATTGTCTCAATTGTAGGTTTTCTTTCGTTCATCAATATATTGCTAATCGTCATATTAATAATTGTCACACAAAGAATAAGGTAATAAGTGAAAAAGAGAAAAAATGGAATACGTAATTATCAGCAAGATTCGCGTGATTATCGGACGGAATAGTAGCTTTCTCGTCTCGACCGTAATAATAAATAGGGGTGTATCTTCGGGGAGGTAGATACACCGTAGACGAAGGACATCGGCGTATTTGACCAGTTGGCCACTAAAACTTTGGACGCGTCGTTACTTCTAAGACACTCCGGCGATATAAGATTGAAAGATCTGGTAGCAAAAGGAACGCGATAGCGCGTACTCGTATTGAACATGTTAAATTGGCGTGTTCCAGATGAGCCATCCAGGAATGGAGAGCCTCGACATGCTGGACCCAGCAAACTCGATGACGACACTGACGCCGATGTCCGAGAGCACGGGTGGAGGACCGGGACACCACGCGGGCATCCACGGTCCCTCCGTCTACGGCGGCATGAACGGTATGATGAGTCACCACCATCATCACAGTAACCTAGGCGGCGGTGGCGGCAGCGTGCCGCATCCGGCGCACCATCATCCGGCGATGGCCGCAGCGGCCGCGGCCGCGGCCGCGGCGGGCCTGCACCCCGACGCCGATACCGATCCGCGCGAGTTGGAGGCGTTCGCGGAGCGATTCAAGCAACGGCGCATCAAGCTGGGCGTGACGCAGGCCGACGTCGGCAAAGCGCTCGCCAATCTCAAACTACCAGGTGTCGGCGCGCTCTCGCAGTCGACGATCTGTCGCTTCGAGTCGCTCACGCTCTCGCACAACAACATGATCGCCCTGAAGCCGATCCTCCAGGCGTGGCTGGAGGAAGCGGAGGCCCAGGCGAAGAATAAGCGACGGGACCCGGACGCGCCTTCGGTATTGCCGGCCGGCGAGAAGAAGCGGAAACGTACGAGCATCGCCGCGCCAGAGAAGCGCTCGTTAGAGGCGTATTTCGCGGTGCAGCCGCGGCCGTCCGGCGAGAAGATCGCGGCGATCGCGGAGAAGCTCGATCTCAAGAAGAACGTCGTACGAGTCTGGTTTTGCAACCAGCGGCAGAAGCAGAAGCGCATGAAGTTCGCGGCTCAACATTGACCCGAGGGTGGCTTGTGACAGCAGAACTGACCGTACCAGCTGCCCAGTCTCGAGCCCAAACCCGAACCCCTGACTGAGTTTCAGGGTTGGCCGTGAACCGCCCAACACTCCGAAGGTGGGCTTCCCCCGGCTGCCCGCCGATAGACATCGCGGTGAGGAGATTCCGAGTCACCGGGATGTCTATCCGCGGCAGTCTTTCGCGGCCGCTAAAAAAACGAATGGTTCGATACTGCGGGCAGACGTATCGGTACACGAGGCTGTCACAGGCTGAGGACGAGTCGCTTGTTATCATTGCGCGTGTGTAATATGCTTGAAACGCATATGCTGGAATCACCGGTTGCAGGGAGCTATTCTTGACCCGTTTCGGTTCGCGATTCTCTCTCCTCTTCAGCTAAATACGATTACCTCTCGTCACGTTATACCCACATGCAATGAAACGCTGGTGACGCGTTTACGAATGTTTCACGATGGATACCATCGCGGTACGATGGCAGTCAATGTTATGGAAATCCATACTGAAATCGGTTCCGCCGCGTCGACGTATCGTTCGTTTTCCACGCGAATGGAACTTGTTGCAAAATGACTTTCAATATCGATCAAATTAACCGTTTTCAAATTGACTTAAATGACAAACTTCTAGCAGAGCTTTCCTTAATCAAAGACACGTAACTTACACCCTGACGTCGAGACAGTAATCAGGTAAATTCAAGCGCGCTCGAAAATACGAACGCGAGTAGAGATAATGCCGAGAAAACACTGATCGCTGCAATAATGCATAACGCTTTCAACGGTATGATTTTTGGAAAATGGACAACTCGTGCACTACGGGGATATAAGCGCTTTCTTCGTATTTTCATTTACATTAACAGTAAGCATTGTAGCGACGGATTTGTGTGTTGCATGATAATATTATAGGGCCACATAAATACCATCCGATTCGTGCATTTTATCCGAAACAGGATACGATATTTGTTATGTTTTTTTAGGAATACACATGGCCGAGTAAATGTTACCTTGTTTTAAGTAAAACGCTGTCCGATATTTGTTATTAATTTAACGGTAAAATATTTACATTAAATTTCACGTAAAATTAATAATTATATAACTTTTATACTTTAACATATTTTTTTTGTATAATACTTTAGATAACTATTTTTTATCCCTGTGACCACAAAAATGGTTGAAAAAAGTTCTGATAGAGCCTAAAATGGCGGACATCGCTTCATTTGTCACCAACTGGAAAATGTTGTAAGCGTTTACTAACTTGGTCTTTTTCGCAAATTTTGTGACGAAATGGAAAAAGCTATTTTTTGAAACGCGTTCCTAACATGGCCTACTCGTGAGCTTAATATTAAATTAAATTTAAAAAATATTAAATAAAGATTTGTTGGCAATATTCAATATTACAGTATCGTAGATTATCAAGACGAGATGAACAGCGACTTTGTACCGTATATGATTTTATAGAAACAATCGAAGATTTAAAATTCAACTTGATATTTATGTTATCACAATATTTCAGCTAGTACCTTCTCCCGATCGACTAAAGTAAAGAGCCCTTCAATGTTGCAATCCACAAAACTACGAGAGCAAGAAACACACTACCAACGATAGCGATAAAACAGTTTACGATGCCATTTGCCCTTCGACCCCTCGTCGACATATGACATCCGCGGTTGAAATCGCTGTTCGGCTCCGATTTCACGATCATATTTCTCACATTTCGCAAATAAATATGCAAAATCCTATGATCCGCGCCAAACAAATTTACAAGAGAAATGGCATTTCTTTGCCAGAAAAGAAGAAAGTTTAACGAATTTTTATTCGAGATTCGCGGATTTTGTCTACGATATTGCATAATATTGTGTAAGTGCACATCTGTACTAATTACGAATGTGAACTAAAGATTGTTTAAGTGTACGTTACTGCGCTTTAATACCAGATTGAAACGGAAATCGTTCATCAACAATTGATTGGTTCAAAGTAGTACGCAAACCTTGTGAAAGGAAAGCTTTCCTATATGTAATCTTTTCGGTTACTCTCGTTATAAAAAAAATTAACGAATAGAAAAATAAAAACTGGCTGTCTTACTTTCTCTAGTACAAGATAATTACTTTCAATTGGGTACAGATAAGAGTGAAAATCTTAATTTGATGCGACTGGACCGTCATATCGTCAACGCAATTGCGATCTTAACGAATCGCCAACTCTACAATATTGTATTATATTTTACGTGGTTATTAATCGATAACAATTCTATCGCGAAATAATGCATCGGAAACAATCGTAAATCACTAGGTCGCCATTGCAATAATTTACTGAGCAATAATCATTGAAGACACGATCGATTATCGAGAGATAATCCCAACGGGGTTGAAAGAGCGAGAAAGAGAGAGAGAGAGAGAGAGAGAAAGAGAGAGGGACTTTTCGTCGTTCGTTTATCACGAACGAGCTTGTCGTGACAAGTGAACGGCAAAGAGCAAGGATTACCAACGCGTCTTGAAAAGTACAACTCGAAACATAAAATATAAAGTACGTATTTGTTATAAAGACGACGCGCGGATACGTCGCGCCGAAGAAAAAGTGATATTAATCCTAATGAAGACGCTCAGTGCAGTGTAAACAGTAAAGAGAACGATAGTGCGCGTATGAACGAATGAATGTGTGTTGCGTATGTAAGAGAGGACCGGGTTGAAGTTTAGAAAAGAGAGAGAGAGAGAGAGATAGGAAGGAGCAAATAAGAGAGAGAGAGAGAGAGAGAGAGAGAAAGAGAGAGAAATTATGAGAGAAAGAAAGGAAGAGAGAAAGAGAGAGAAAGAGAGGAACAAACTAACAGAGCTAAGAAAAATGTTTTACGTAGTGATATTGGACAATCAGTGAAAAGACTGTACCATATCATATTAAAGCAATACTGTAGTACGTAGTAAACGAATTAATTATACTTTGTTCGTATTTTTTATGATCGTCCGCGCATCCGCCGTGCGCCATGCGCTGACTATTTTCGTAAAAAGAGGGGAAAGAGACGGAAGGCAGAGGGGGGGAAAAAAAAGGAGAAAGAAACAGGGCGAACGATACAACGAGGGGGTTGTTTTAAGTCTCGGTGCATATTCTGCTTTCAGAACTCGACGATTAATAATAATCTCCTTATTGATCCGATATATCAAGGATGCGACTGGCGCTCGCGCCGCGGTTTCCACTTTTCCGCGGATCAACGCGTGCGCCATAGAAACGCGTGTCTCGCTCACGCGACACACGCGCGCGCGTCGGGGAGCGAGTTTGGTTTTCCGGTTTTGTTCCCCGGTGAAGTACGGTTAATATCGGATGCACGGATAATCCGAAATCGATGAATCTAACTGTCTACGTGTCTATCTCTTTCCGTTCGCCGACACAAAGAATCCGTCGGTATCGCGCTGTTCTGTGACGACAACGAAATTCTCAAGTACGAGATCGACATCCTCTTAGCGGAAGGTGAGACGCAATAGCGATTCGAGTGAGGAGGCACGGTCAGTTTCTGATACGGTCGAAACGGTCGTGCTGTAAGTCGCGATTGTTAAAATTTTCTGCGCTACATATTTTCTAAAGTTGGATATACGCGTTAATGATTCACTTTGCACGTAACCGAAAACGCATTTCAATATATTCGTCAATATTAACCTTGCCGAAATACGTCGGGAAAATTCTCATACCCTGCGAATTCAATATGCGATTTATTGGAAATCTTAAAACTTTTATGATGCATTTATAGGGGGAAAAAAAACGATATTAATAAATAAAAACATGACAATCTCGAAGACCGACACTTTTAAATATAAGAATTCCATAAAATTTACTTTTTTCTCAATTACTTATAAATAAAAAGATACTTAAGATATTTCAACGTCACAACTTTGTGATCAAAATGAAGAGAGTTTGCTCGATTTTAGGCTAACATTGAAAATCCATTCTCTACATTGGCAGGTCGAGGAGGGTTAACCAATCGAAAAGTTGCCTTTAGAAATTCGTCCTCTGCTTCGGCAGGAGGATTCAGCACAAGTGACATGAGATGGTATCCGAAATGTCGGCCCCTCGTTTCAATTCAACTTGACTTCGTTTCAAGTTGAAGTGTATTATCGTTGAACTTTGTAATATTAATTAGTTCAAAGTTTCATTCATCAGTATTTTCATTCTGTGAAAATATGCGACGCGCGGTCGTCCAATAAAATCTGTGCCCCAACAAATCATACACGCATTACGGTTTATTCAAGAAAATTAGATATTTTACATCTGTTTCAGCTGTTTTATATTTCTTAGCAAATAGCATCAACGATATAGAGGCTTAATTACAAAGTAATTTCACACTGGACATTAAGGATTACATTTTTCCACAATCTTAAAATCTTGTGCCCGGCTTATCAATCAAATGGATTTTACTTCTCGACGAGACGACTTTGAAATCTCGAAAAATTTGTAGCAAACGGTAATATATGTGGTATGACAATTGTGAAAAAATTTGCCAAACGCGTAGTCATGTGTATCCAACGTTAGAAGAATATTTTGTGTAAAGAGGATGAGATACATCCAGGCAAACGAAAATACTAGTAATAGTTAAAAGTGAAAAAAAACGGTAGCAATTTTTAAATTGTACATATATATAAGAGGATAAGTATTTTATAGGAGAGTAATAGCCTATTTGCCATTTTACTAGGTAGTAGGAGAGAAGTTCTAGTGCAATATAGGAGTCTAGTGAAACGTTCATTATTTATTGTTCTTTTCTTTCTTGTCTATGGCGCGTCCACAGCGTAGCAATATCAACGAGTTTATCAGCCTTTATCCACGGTCATTGAGAATCTCAGAACCGCCCTGCATCGCGACCGTTTTTCTTCTTTTTCGTAGAATAAAAGAAATATTTTCCTACGCGCAACTCATCAATCGCGTAACGTATCGATTCGTTAGCGACACAATTGTGTTAAATATATGCGTTTCCTAATTACCGCACCCCTTTAATTCAAATCCTGACGAGTTAGAGTGTTAGGTAGATATTACGACAAAGACCTGTCATCTCTTTTATTGTCTCATGTTTCTTTCTACGTCTCCCCTGTTTCTTACACGGTTCCCTTTATTTTCAACTATATGAAAGCTATCGTGATTATAGCCGACGATTATAAATAACGTTCTTGATAATGTTGTTGTTACGTAACTAATAAAAATTATGTAAATATGATTCGTAACTCTATGAATTAGATTAAGAATATGTTTCACGCACTTGGTCCGATTGTACATCAAATAAGAGAGAGAGACGCCAGGAAGTATGTAGAATTGTTTATTATAACACGCGCGCGCACATTATTACACACGTTAAGTTGTCACGAAACGTCCGACATTTGCCTATTACATCAAATTTGCGTAATAGAGTATACATGTATAAAATCTTTTATTTTCCGATGACGTTATCATTAAAATCTTTCAACGCTAAGAATACGGTTTGTATTTTAAAAATTTGATACTTTTTTATCACGATAGAACGTCTTCTTTAACGACATTGTAAGACGTGTATAAACGAGAACGGGGAAACAATTACAAAAATATTCTAAGTGAAATTAATTATTCTATTATTACCGCGATGCAAAAATACGGAAACGTGCTGGTGCAAATTCCATATACTTCCTGTATATTGCCGACCTCTCAGCGTCATTAATTACTCTTTTTTAACTTAATCATATCATATCGTTATATATAAAATATATACAAATAAATTTTCCCGCCCTACATTGCATATTTATTCAATGGCTAAATAAAGCGTTTAACGGGTTGTGAGTTTGCAATTTGTTGCGCTTAAACAATACGTCATGTTTCGATCATTTCAACACCGTTGTATCATGTGAGAAACTTAGAAAATTATGCACTGCAACGTTATACGCGAAATGTTCCAGAACCATCGGGTATCCTTTTAACCCATAATTCTTTCGTTATTTTAAAACCAATTTTTTCTTAACGAGAAACCGATAGTTTTCAAACTAGCAGCTGAAAATGAAATGATGTCTCGCAAACTGAAATTTATTAGTTTCCTTAATTCAAAGCGCGGAATTTTGATTTGAGAAAAAGGTGTTGTTTGTTTCTTCTCGA